TCAGAAGTGTGCAAATGATGAGAATTTACACCTGTAACTTAAAAAAGAACATCTGTAAATTCACGGATGTTGCTTCTCTAGAAGTACATAGAATGAAATTAAAAAAAGCTAGGGAAATGGCTTATGGCCATATCACATTGAAACATTGGTTCCTGTACGATCACCGAACTTAAGCAACATCGAACTCAGCCAGAACCTAGATGGGTGACAGCTTAGGAATACCAGGTGCTTTATGCTTGGATGTGTGGGTGGTGTAATGGAGAATGGCTCGGAAATGTCAATCAGAGATCTGAGTTCCAATTCCAGTTTCATCCTGGGTATGACGATAAACATCCGTGTCCTGGGTAAGACGATAAACTACGTCCAACAGCAAGGTCTTTGATCAGGAAGTTTTGAGGAGTGTAGAACCACCTCTTAATTGCTGACGCGGGGTGGTAGCACCTTTTAGTTATGGGAAAATAGTTACCCCCCAAAAAAAAAAAAAAAATTGGGTCAAAATATGTAAAATGGGTTTTAATGCAAGTAATACATTTTTGTAAAAAATTATTACCAACAATAAATTTTTGAATAAAAAAATTTTAACAAATTATTACTATCAATACATTATTTTTGGGAAATATAGTACCAGCAATACATTAAAAAAAACGTACCAGCAATACACTAAAAAAAAGGTACCAGCAATACATTAAAAAAAGGTACCAGCAATACATTAAAAAAAAGGTACCAGAAATACATTAAAAAAGGGTACCAGCAATACATAAAAAAGGTACCAGCAATACATTAAAAAAAAGGTACCAGCAATACATTTTTGAAAAAAGAAATATTACCAGAAATAATTTTGAAAAAATTATTACCAGCAATAAAAATCTTGTCGGTATTACCCATTGAGGTTGATATGACGTAAACCAAACCAAAACAATTCCAGTCAGATTCATTATAATTACTTACTCTTAGGAAAGGTATGAATCCAGCTGTTTCCCCATAGCTATGGATTAATTAGTAAGCCTTGTATCACTAAATCCTTATTATCAAAAAAATTCTTACATCTAAATTATATATTATATATTTAAAATTATATATTATATATTTAAAATAACCCGCAAAGTGTTGATAAACCATAGAAAATGAATCACTCAATCAATCCTGACAGAGAAACGAAGATGCAATAGGAAGGTGACGATTTACTACCCATCAATATTGGTGTACTTCGAACAATTTCCAAACGACAGAATTATTAAAAATCTAAGCAGAGGAAACTTCTGGCATATTAAAATGATTATAAAAATTACTATTTTTCCTTGACATTCACGACGAAAAGGTATTGTCTTGCTGAAATTTTTTTTAAAGTAAAGTTAATAAAGAAGTAGCAACATTATTTGAAAGAAAAAAAAGAACCTCATTTTCTTTTGCAGTCACAATGTTATTTATTACCTCTGTATAATTTTTACTTTCTCAGTAATCTCTAAAATGTTAGAAATAGTCTCCGTAATTTAATTTTAGGAATGTTAGCTAGATCGATCTTTTTTCATCATACAGGTCACCCATACTTTCAAAATCGGCACGTTTATACACATAAACCTTTTTTTTTAATTATTTAAAAAATCTTTGGCTCGATGATTTGTATTAAGCATTTCAATTTTCGCTTAGTGAATATAATTTTTACTTAATAACTTAATAATATAACACGAACGAAGTTCCGAAGAATTTTTAAAACATTTTTGAAACTTTATAAATTATTATAATTAAAAAAAATGTAAACAATTTTTGTAAAACTTCATTATTCATCGAAAAATTCTTTTTTCTTCGGATTATAATGTCCTTAATATATATTATTTATAAAAGCAATTAAAAGCTTCTCTAATTAAATAATTAGATAGTTTTATTGCAATTTTTATTTTACGATTCGGTGCAGATTTTAGTGAATCTGGTAAAAGTTTGAAAAAAATTGATGATTTACATTATCCAAGGATTCCTACTTTTAACTAAAAGAAAAGGCGGGGGGGGGGATAAAAGATGTAAAAAATATAGTTTTAACAAGATTTTCTAAAAATAATGATTTCATAAATAAATTTATATTCATTTGTGAATAAGTCCAGAAAGTTTCATTAAAATCCGACAATTATTTGATTTTCGCAAGAGTTTCCAAATTAATGTTATTTTGCCGAAAAAGAATGCGAGAAAATTTGCATTAACAATTCTGTTACACTGTTGAAGAATAAAAAAAAAAGATTTTTAACCAAAATTTCCAATGTGTTAGAACGGAGTAAAAAAAATTTTTTAAAATAACTAAAAAATACTTTGTTCTTTCCTCTTAATATTAATATAAACATTTTGACAATAAAACTTGTTTTTATTAAGTTTGAGGCCTTTTTCATCATGAATCATCGTTCTCGTTTATTTTTTTCAGCGAGTTATTGGAGGTACATATATATATATATATATATATATATATATATATATATATATATATATATATATATATATATAATTGTAGGATGTAAAATAGTATCGGAAACAAAG